GTGTTATTTAGAGGGTTTCTTGTCCTAGCAAGAGTTCAGTGTTATATAGAAGGTTTCTGGCCATAGGAAGTGTTAGTGTTATATAGAAGGTTTCTGGCCATAGGAAGGGTTAGCGTTATAAAGAAGGTTTCTGGTCCTAGCAAGTGTTCAGTGTTTTATATAGAAGGTTTCTGGCCATAACAAGTGTTCAGTGCTATATAGAAAGTTGATGGCTATAGCAAGTGTTCAGTATTATATAGAAGGTTTCTGGTCCTAGCAAGTGTTTAGTGCTTTGTATAGAAAGTTTATGGCCATAGCAAGTTTTCAGTGTTATATAGAAGGTTTCTGGCTATAGCAAGTGTTAAGTGTTTTATAGAAGGTTTCTTGCCATAGCAAGTGTTCAGTGCTTTATATAGAAGGTTTCTGGCCATAGCAAGTGTTCAGTGTTACATAGAATGCTGATAGCTATAGCAAGTGTTCAGTGTTATATAGAAGGTTCCTAGTCCTAGCAAGTGTTTAGTGCTGTATATAAAAGGTTTATGGCCATATCAAGTTTTCAGTGTTATATAGAAGGTTTCTTGCCATAGCAAGTGTTCAGTGTTATATAGAAGGTTACTGGTCATAGCAAGTGTTCAGTGTTATGTAAAAAGTCTCAGGCCATAGCAAGTGTTTAGTGTTATATAGAAGGTTTCTGGCCATAAAAAGTGTTTAGTGTTATATATAAGGTTTCTAACCATAGCGAGTTCTCAGTGTTGTATAGAAGGTTTCTAACGATAGCAAGTGTTCAGTGTTATATAGAAGGTTTCTGACCATAGCAAGTGTTTAGTGTTATATAAAAGGTTTCTGGCCATAGCAAATGTTCAGTGTTGTATAGAAGGTTTTTGGCCATAGGAAGTGTTTAATGTTAATAGAAGGTTTCTAATCTTAACCAGTGTTCAGTGTTATTTAGAAGGTTCCTGGCAATAGCAAGTGTTAGGTGTTACATAGAATGCTGATAGCTATAGCAAGTGTTCAGTGTTATATAGAAGGTTCCTAGTCCTAGCAAGTGTTTAGTGCTGTATATAAAAGGTTTATGGCCATATCAAGTTTTCAGTGTTATATAGAAGGTTTCTTGCCATAGCAAGTGTTCAGTGTTATATAGAAGGTTACTGGTCATAGCAAGTGTTCAGTGTTATGTAAAAAGTCTCAGGCCATAGCAAGTGTTTAGTGTTATATAGAAGGTTTCTGGCCATAAAAAGTGTTTAGTGTTATATATAAGGTTTCTAACCATAGCGAGTTCTCAGTGTTGTATAGAAGGTTTCTAACGATAGCAAGTGTTCAGTGTTATATAGAAGGTTTCTGACCATAGCAAGTGTTTAGTGTTATATAAAAGGTTTCTGGCCATAGCAAATGTTCAGTGTTGTATAGAAGGTTTTTGGCCATAGGAAGTGTTTAATGTTAATAGAAGGTTTCTAATCTTAACCAGTGTTCAGTGTTATTTAGAAGGTTCCTGGCAATAGCAAGTGTTAGGTGTTATATAAAAGGATTTTGGTCAAAGAAAGTATTCAGTGTTATATAGTAGGTTCTTGGCTGTCGTAAGGTTTTCAGGCCATAGGAAGTTTTTAGTGTTATAATCACACGTGAGCTGGTTGTGTTTGAAGTGTCCTTGCATGCAGAATTAAAGGAAGGAGGGGAGTAAGATATATACTTATCAAAGAGAAAAATTAATATGGAAAAAGTTAATAATAGCAAGAAATAAAGAAAAAATAAAGAAACATCACTGAAACGTATATTAACATAATGAGGAAAACGAAAACATGATAGAAGAGTAATATAAAACAAGAAAACTGATAAAAAAAAAGATTAAAGTGTGTAGTAAAGCAACTGAGATAAGAAATATAGTCGAAAGACGGAAATATACCAGGTTTACTATAAGAAAGGCGAGATAGGCGAATAGGCAGGTAAACAGGCAGAAAACTTACAGAGGAAAAAATAAACACATAAAAATAAAAAAAATAAAAAAAGGAAAAATAAAATTGTATACCTAATGACATTTAAAATAATAATAATAATAATAATAATAATAATAATAATAATAATAATAATAATAATAATATTAATAATAATAATAATAATAGGAAATGATTGATATAACTGAGGCAAGAACATAGGCAAGGCACAAAGCCTTTTTGAACTTGAAAGACGCGTTTCAACAGAGGATAGAAGATAAACACATAAATCAATCACATACCTGAACAAGCCTATATCCAGCCATGCCATGTACTCGGTGTGTACAAGGCCTCTCTGGACTGCCATTTGTAGGACGTCATATTTGGCATTCATGGCACACGAATACTCAGCGACAACTGTGTTTGGACTATGTTTTGGGTACGATGAGTTCTTGTATATAGTCCTGATTTTTTCCACGTTGTTGAAAGCAGGTATTTCTTTTCTCTGGAGTTTTATAAAAACAGTTCTATCTGCTGGGAGTACTGACCTAATTTGCCTGAGGATTTGGATGGTAATTACATTTGTTGAATAA